GTATGCAAAGCATGGTTTCAAAATAAAGGTATAGAAATATTACCATGGTCAAGAAACAGTCCTGATCTCAATCCAATTGAAAATTTGTGGCGACGTTTGAAAATTCTTGCACGAATAAAACGTCCATCCAATAAAAGACAACTTATTGAAGCTATAATTGATTCTTGGCACCATGTGATTACGAAAGATGAACTTCAAACAGTCGTTCACTCAATGAAAAGAAGCTGGGAAGCTATTAGTTGCATAATTTTTTTTGTAATACAGATATTGTAATACTGTATTCATTATTAAATTCTACATTAAATTACCTTCAATTTGATATATAAACTTTTGTATTTAAGTGAAAATTAATATATTCTACAAGTACACAAAGTTGAAAAACTTGAAACTTTCAAAAAGGGTCCACACTTTTGGCCACCACTGTATATTTTGCCATATTAAATGTATTCAACATTGTTTAATGTGATTTTGTTATTTTTCTGCTAAACAATTTAAATGCGCTGATTGCTGTTGCTGAAAATAGCAAGTTTATTCAGAACACAGAACTGAAAATGCTTATAAATTGAACCAAATGTTTCAAGTAAAATAAAAAAAGTAAAGCAATCATGAATAATGATGAATTACACCAGACAACATGAAAGTATGACATTATAACAGTTAAAAACAATATTGCTGTATTTAAATTTTTGTTATGTTTGGATTTGGCCTAGATTTATCCAGCCATGAAAATATGAAAAAAGACACGCATTTTTGGCTGTCCAGAGATTTTAAAGGGAGGTTTCGAGAGGGTATGGTTGCAAGAATCTTCTTATCTTAATGAAACGTCATTAATTTGATAAAATTTAGATATTTTGATTCGCTAAAAGGATATCGCCACTCTGAAGGTGGGAAATTTTTGGGACTATCTTAATGCGTACTTTATTTACGAATTATTGCCCATTTACTTCAGAAAATAATCTTCTATCTGGCCTTATTTGGTGCATCTTGACCTTTTAGGCCGACTTCTACATCTTAAACTTGATAATATGGAAGACAAGCGAAAAGTGATGTTAAATGTTAAAAGTTCAAAATGAAGATAAAACAAAGGAAAATTTCAGACGTATGAAAAAGAAAGGGGGGGAGTGAAAAATAATAATAAAAAATAACAAACAACTAGGGAAAAAAAGGATAAAAATTTCTATAAAAATCCATAAAATGAAAGATATAATCTTTTCATCAGCCCACACAATTATATCCACGAAAAAGAGTGCTTTCTGATATTGTATCAATATAGCCGAAGCAAAATATATTAATACAATAGTGTGAGGAGCACTCAAAATTTTTTTTTACAAAAAATACAACAAATAATACAATAAGTAAAAATATAACACGAAAAAACAGAAAATAAAATAAGATAAAACGAAAAAGAAAAAACAGAATAAAACATAAACTTTAAAGCGAGTAGCGAATTCAAATGTACTTACATGAACGGGAAATTTTTCAAGAATGATTTAAAAAAAAGATTTTCGTAACAAGATTGCCAGATAGCAAAATATGAAAACAAAAGCGCAAATTGAGAGCAACTAGAGGAGTTTTGTTTTAAAGTGCCGTTCTTAGTGCATTGCTTGCTGAAGTGCTTTTGATTTGTTAGTTGCCAAAGAAGGGCCGGAAATGGATGTGCGCAAGGTAATATTATACTGGATACTTTAAAGAAGTTGACCATAAATATTTTTAGAAAATAAAAATTTATTTAAGAAAAAAATAGAAAATAGAAGCATGAATTGCCTGTTTTGCATTTAATTTTAGCCACGGATTTGCCCGAAATGGATTTGCACATGGAAAAATTGCATAAATTAATAAAGAAATTTTTAGTGAATAATTTTACCCACGTATTTGCCCGAAATGGATTTGCACATGGAAAAATTATATAAATTATATAAATTAACTTCGTAACTTGATAACTATATAATAAAACTTGGTAACTAACAAATCAAAAGCACTTCAGCAAGCAATGCAGTAAGAACGGTACTTTAAAACAAGACTCCTCTAGTTATGCTCAATTTGCCCTTTTGTTTTCATATTTTGCAATCTGGCAATCTTGTTACGAAAATAATTTTTTTAAATCATTCTTGAAAAATTTCCCGTTCATGTAAGTACATTTGAATTAGGTACTCGCTTTATAGTTTATGTTTATTCTGTTTTTTCTTTTTATCTTATTTTATTTTCTGTTTTTACGTGTTATATTTTTACTTATTGTGTTCTATTTTATTTGTTGTACTTTTTGTAAAAAATTTTTTTGAGTGCTCCTCACACTATTGTATTATTATATTTTGCTTTGGCTACATTGATACAATATCAGAAAGCACTCTTTTTTGCGGATATAATCGTGTGGGCTGATGAAAAGATTATATCTTTTATTTTCCGGTTTTTTTTATAAAATTTTTTATCCTTTTCTTCCCCCCCCCAGCTGTTTGCTATTTTTTATTATTATTTTTCTCCCCCCCCCTTTTTTTTCTTCTCCATTTTTTTTCCATGTCTGTAATTTTCCTTTGTTTTATCTTCATTTTGAACTTATCTAATGGGCTCTGTTTACTTGCAGCTTATGCGCAATAAATGAAATTTATTGTTTTTCTTAATTTTCTTCGTGTTTTTTGAAATATATAATATTAAAATATAAACTAAAAAATATAAACTTTCCCTTAAATACCATATTTCGTGAATCTTAGAGAATATAACTTACTTTATCACCAGCTTTTCTTGTCAGCATTCCAAACAGAAAAGTTGCACAAATAATACCTTGAGGTAATGCAATAAATACTTGAGTCAAATGGTGAATACTGTCTGTGTGTTGAAAAACAAAGCTAAGACCTATGCAAACACCACCATAGATAGCAGCTATTAAAATAAAGTACTTAAATAAATTCTCAAAATTAAAACTACTGTATATAAATGAAATAAACTAAAAGTATCTAAATTTTTTAAGTAGTATGTCCATTGATTCAGTCAAGGAAATAGTGAAATAAAATAATATTTTCTTGCCCAGTTCTCCGAACGAGCTTTATTTATGCTTTTTGCAAAAACTCCAGCAGAGACGGTATTTTTTCCTTATTTTTGCTTTAAATTATACTATATTATTTAGGGTATATATCAGGGTTGGCAAGTTTTTGACACATGACGGTTTTTACCGGTTTTTACCGTCATGTCAAAAACTGTCAAAAACCCATAGTTTTGGTAAAACTGTATTTTTATTTGAGTTTAACTGTTTATAATTTAAAATTAATTCATTTTTGGGCAATAAAATTAGAAAAAAAGTTGTTAAAAAATATTGAAGAACAGATTCTTGCATTTTTCCAACATGAATATATCAAAACATACTATTTTAAGTAAAATATTAGGATACTAAAAAAAATTTCAACATTTCCAAACATCATTTTGTTTGGCATATTACATTACTGAAGAATGTCAAGATTGATTAATTAAAATTTTGCTATGAGAAACACATGTACACATAAAAAGAAAGCCTCATAAAATAAACTTTTCTTATCAATTTTGCTTTCAATATTTTACACAGAAATGATACATGAAAAAGCCTGGGAAATCCTTTTAGAGTTTCAATATTTCTGTATGAATGTATATCCTTCTATAAGAATACATGCATATAGTTGCAAAATCAATAGCAATCATTTGCAACATTCATTTATAAAGGCAATTATGTGAAAATAATATATTGTCCGCTATATGCCATAAATTAATAAAAACAGTAGGTTTTTGACAGTTTTTACCGGTAAAAACACGGTTTTTACCACTGTCATGTCAAAAACCAGTTTTTGACGGCAAAAACCCAACCCTGGTATATATAAAATAAAACCAAAACTTGGAAAGAATTTAAACTTCAAGGAGCAGTCACATTAAGAAATTATTGTTGCCAATTAAGTATAAACTATTAATATTTTTCGTACATGTATTTGTAAAGTTATTTGCAATAAACTATTTATTAACTTAATTGATTAATTTTTCCCAAAATAGGGTATAATGTGTGTATGCTTGAAGACTCACTACCATGACAGCGGCTTCCTAAACCAGAATACCATGCAATGCTGACTCTTAGTCAAAATGCCGCGAGTCGCGCACAATTTCTGAGCTCCCAAAACTAAGTCAGAAAGCAAAGACAGACGGCGAACGAGCACAAAGACCAAGATTAAAGCAACAAGGTGACTATGTAATTCAATCGCAGTTGACATCAGCATATGAGCAAGTACATCGCGTTTCAAGAGTAAGGCTTTCAGGCTGGAAGATAATCGTAACGACTCAGTATTTGTTTAAATCAGGGTTGGGTTTTTGCCGTCAAAAACTGGTTTTTGACATGACAGTGGTAAAAACCGTGTTTTTACCGGTAAAAACTGTCAAAAACCTACTGTTTTTATTAATTTATGGCATATAGCGGACAATATATTATTTTCACATAGTTGCCTTCATAAATGAATGTTGTAAATGATTGCTATTGATTTTGCAACTATATGCATGTATTCTTATAGAAGGATATACATTCATACAGAAATATTGAAACTCTAAAAGGACTTCCTAGGCTTTTTCATGTATCATTTCTGTGTAAAATATTGAAAGCAAAATTGATAAGAAAAGTTTATTTTATGAGGCTTTTTTTTTTATGTGTACATGTGTTTCTCATAACAAAATTTTAAGTAATCAATCTTGACATTCTTCAGTAATGTAATATGCCAAACAAAATGATGTTTGGAAATGTTGAAATTTTTTTTAGTATCCTAATATTTTACTTAAAATAGTATTTTTGATATATTCATGTTGGAAAAATGCAAGAATCTGTTCTTCAATATTTTTTAACAACTTTTTTTCTAATTTTATTGCCCAAAAATGAATTAATTTTAAATTATAAACAGTTAAACTCAAATAAAAATACAATTTTACCAAAACTATGGGTTTTTGACAAAGGGGTTTTTGACATGACGGTAAAAACCATGGTAAAAACCGGTAAAAACCGCCATGTGTCAAAAACTTGCCAACACTGGTTTAAATACATTGAATCAGTATCAGCATAATTTTAAATAGATTTAGCTAAAAAAACTTCACACGATTAATTTTTACTCGTATAAAACTAGTGAGGTCGTAGAAAACTTACACACAATTTTCGCCACTAAAATGATTCTAAATTCAGAAATGTTGCCCTTTCTGAAGATTGGTATTAAATAATCAATGACTGTCACGGTTGAGGCAGAATTTAGACACGAGGAAATAGTGCTCATGGAAGCACTGAAGATGCCAGCTATGCATAGACCTGTCAGTCCTGGATAAGAGCTAAATCTTGTAACAATGTAAGCCGGGACGACCTAAAAAGAATTTAAAAATTGTTTGCGTTGATGTAGTAAATGTAAGAAATAAATGCTTAATAGTTTGCTAAAAAAAATATCTCTTAGTATTAAAAAATTATAAGGCCTTTACAAAATAAGAAAACTTCGAAGCTTGAAATTACGAAGGTGTGGAGGATTAAGAAGTGTATTAAGAAAGGAAAATAAGATTTTATAAATGATTTATTAGTTTTTAAGCTTGTTGGAAAGATACTACGCGGGAATGGTCACAGCCTGCAGAAATATAACTATAAGAGTTAAAATTTTTCATGCTGAATTGGTTACATTTGCTTATAAACTTCATAGAGTTTCTCTTTTGAAATTCTAATTAATTCAAAAGTTACTGCTATTTTAAGTCTGTTTTTTTTACTTTTAAATTTTTCTATAAATGAGAAAAATGCGATGAAATAAAAGAAAATGAGATTCGACTAATAGCTCGAGAATTAGTAACTGGTAAACTTGTAGTAAAAGAGCCATCTACTGCCCACAGAAATGCAACTGCAGAATTTAAATTTAATGAGCAGATATGAGCAAAAACAGTGAAGGATCTTTGGGTATTTTTGGGGATTTTAAATCATTACCATCATTTTTTGCCAAAATAGCTCAAAACCAAGTTCTTCTGCATGATTTTTTTAACAAGAAACTTGCAAAAAATAGTACTAAACCAAAAGTTAGTCTTTCCACTTCAACACATTCAAGAGTATTCCCACCTATTTCAGACTATTTTTCTCTTATACATATTGACATAGTGTGACCCTTGCACTAAATCGAGGTTATAACATCTGTTTAACAATTACAGATAGATTTACGAGATCGCTGGAGGTAGTTCCTTTGACAAATATGACAACTGAAACCGTAGATGAGTTTTTTTGTATTCAGGCTGGATTGCATAATTTGGAGTTCCACAATGTGTTACTAGTGATGATCAGAGAAGACAATTCGAATTTGACCTCTTCTGCTGGTTAAGAAAGTTAATTGGCATGACCCGAATTCGTACTTCAGCATATAATATCGCCACAAAGGGCGCTATGGAACTGATACACTTAAAGCTATTATGAGCTATTATGAGCTATCAAACTGAAAAAATTTTTCCTTCCATTTTGTTGGAATTCCGAGCTACTGTAAAAGTAGGTTTTGATGTTACTCTGGCAGAGATGGTTTATGGTTCAACTATCTGACTTTCTGAAGAATTTTATACAGCTGGTCCATTTTCTATTGATCCAACCTTTTTTGTCAGCAAATTGAGAAGTTTTATTCACCAATTACGAACAGTACCTGGAAGACGACATTCAACAGATCGAGCCATTTTATATTTCCAAAGATTTAAAAGCATGCACTGACTTAATCGTACGTCATAATGCTGTTCGACAACCTCTACAGCATTCATACGATGACCCGCATCAAATACTCAGAAAAAGGGCAGATGACCTAAGACTTTCAAACTGAATATAAAAAGAAAATTGCAAAGTATTTCGATTGACCCTTTAAAGCCAGCTTATATGCTAACATTTAATCCCGAAGAGACTTCTGCACAATCACTGAAGGCACCGTTTTCCGAAGTGCCACCGCAGCATTCATCGCCAATCAACACGTGAAGTGAGCGACGAGTCAGATTTCCTCTTCGATATCGTTGAAACTAGGGAGGGAGTACCGTGGAGCTTCTTGCAGACCTCTTGGAAAACATTTTTTCCTGCGAGTCTGAGAGAAAGCAAGCATAACGTAATTCTGATTTGCCGATGTCTGTTGGACTTTTCAGTGATTATAGTCATTGGCCAAGATGTGATTATAAAAAGCGGTTATATATAAAGGCAGGTGTCAAAATTGTGGAGATTCGCGCAGTTTTCGTATTTATTTACGGAACCTATTAGCGAGCCGGCTATCAGCATCCACTGTCACGGTGAGCACCCGGCCTGTTTTGCAAGTTGCTGTGCAAGACCTGAGAGAAAGCCTGGAGGTAATCCAGCGCAGTCACGGAAAACCTCCGATTCAGCTATCAGATTTCTGCTAATCTTAAGGGAGATGCAGCAGTTACTGAATGATAAAAAACTATTCAACTTGCTTCGTTCCCTACTCACAGGGAACCATCGACGCAGAGATCATCCTTCCACCACTTCTTTTAAGATTTCCACATAATCGATATTACAACCGTCTTTGAACAACCAACCCAATTTTTTTGGGTTTATGACTACTACTGTTCAGTTCAGTAGTCTTGTAATTTTAAACCCAATCCAGAAGAGCCAATGCCTATGAGGAGAGATTTTTGATGGAACAAATCCGCATTTGCGTTACATGGTGAGACAAACCACGAAAGCCAGACACATCCCACGGTTAGTCTGACGGCAAAAAACTCAAGTCCATTATCCGTCTACCACTGAGAATATTTTACGACAGCACTGTGGTCGGTGCTAGCCGGATGCGGAACTCGTATCGACTATCTATTGCAGGAATTCGAACTCAGTTCACCTCATTTGTAGTCTAACGCTCTTTCTCTTGAGACATCATGGCCTTTGGCAATGGATAGTAATTGAAATTATAAAAAAAAGCTAGGAACTAAAATGGAAACTTAATAGAGAAAAAGCACTTATTTTGTACCGTAAAGTGTCTCTACTATTGTTGATGCCAATAATGCATAATTTTAGTAGTGGGTATTACTGGAATCAGGGTAATTCATGCCAAGTATTCTCTTAGATAAGTATAGAGAATTTTTTAAATAAGTTTGGTGGCTATTACTGATGCAATCAATACTGTATATTCTCTTGATAGATATTAAAGAAATTGGTTTTCCAGCCCCGGGAGATATAAATGCAAGTGAAACTAACTTGATTAAGGCAAATTTTAAATACCGGGAGTTGCTTAGAATAAAAGCATTATGCCGGATGATACCGGAAGCAGTTGACACCGAAACAAATGGACGAAGTACCTATTTTGCTTAATCTAATAAGATAAAGCCGTTAAGAAAAGCAACAAGTAATAATAAATAAAAAAAAAACATTGAATTATTTTAAACTTTAATATTTGTGTCGGTATTTATCTTGCAGTTTTGTTTAAAACTTACTAGTTACTTACTATTGAATTATACATTCTTTTTTCACCCCGTACGAAGAACGGGCATTCAGCTAGTTATTTAATGTAAGAATATATTTTAAGAAGACAGTTTAAGAGATATATTATATATACGTATTTTTAAATGTTGCTTCCTTTTTATTTGTAATTTTCATACTATACTATATTGCTTTGTATTTTTTACATAAAAACATAACGTTCATTCGATTAATTTATTTCCTACATTTGTCACTTACTTGATCATATTTTCTTAATCCTGTTCTCTCTTTGTTTAAGATTGGGTCACAGTTATAGTAAACACCATATAGCACCACTCCAATGTAACAGCAGGCAGAGTACATGAAAAACACTGGTAAACTACTCATTCGAAGCGTTCTGTAAATATTTTATGATATATTTGAAATATTTGAACAAAAGATCTGCATTTTATTTTAAAGTTTAAATCTATATAAATGAGAAAAAAGTATACATTTTTTAAAATAATCCTACTTATTATTTAAAAGAAAGAACATCGAAATAAAATTGCTTTGATTCCTTGATTCAGTGTTAGGTACTGAGCCAATTTTCATGTTTGTATATCTATATATTAAAATCTCTTGTCACAGTTTTATTGTTTAAACTCCTCCTAAACGGCTTGATCGATTTTGATGAAATTTTATATGTATATTCGGCATTGTTACTAAAATGCACGGTACTTTAATCGAGGCAACCTCCACCAGGATCTCAAACAATAGTAGTGTTTACATGGCAGAATTGGTGGCAATTAATAATGCTTTTCTCTGGCTCTCTAAAAAAGAATATCCAGACGCCACTATCTATACTGATTCGCTTTCCTCGTTGCAAGCCTTACAAAACCCAGTATCAAGCTCAAAAATTGTTGAAAACACTAAACAATTATGGCGATCCAATATACTCTGCAATTGGGTTAAAGCTCATATAGGTACTCAAGGCAACGAGGAGGCGGATCGAGCAGCTAAGAAAGCCACCGATCTCTGCCGGGTTGCCCTTGAGGTCCCAAGCTCCATCGCCCAAATTAAAACTCAGGTTAAATTATATAGCATGAAGCGCTGGGGGCTGGAATGGCGGAGTTCCGAGAAAGGGAGACAGACATTCAAATTTTTTAAAGACCCGAAATTAAATAGACTACAAGCAAACTTCTATCTCAATCAATTTTTAACAGGCCACGGAGTGTTTGGAGAACACCAATATAAATTATTCCACAAAACTCCAGAATGCAATTACTGTGGTGAATATCAATCTATTGATCACTTGTTAATAAATTGTTCTCAATTCCAGACAATCCGGGGCAATAACTTTAATAATATTGGCCAACATCAATGCTATGCTAACCTGACTTGTAGAAATATCATAAAAAAGATTATTAAACAAACTTTAGAGGATGTATTGGGGGACGGTCTTTAATGTCTCGGAACTTGTTCCTTCCAGCTTGGGTGTCTCATTTTTTTTACTATGTCTTTTATAAACTATTCTTCTTTTACTTGCTCCAATTTTATTGTTATTTACTTTTGTACTATTTAATTGGTTTTAATAGTAATGCTTTTAATTGTTTTACAATATTGTTCTCTTGTAATTTTTGCACGTTTATCTTTTAAATTGCTCTTTTAAATTATTCTTTTAATTGACACTTTTAATATATTGCTGTTTTAATGTTTATCACCTTACATGATTTTAGCTGTTCTACCCCCGCCATGTTCATGGGCTGTTGCCATGTCTGATGTGTATTTTATGTAATTTATGTTTGTACTGTTCTCTGGATTTTTTTTTTTTTTTGATTTTAATAAACATTTACCCGTATGCCCTAAATAAGGGCGGGTCGGGGTAAATTCTTCCATGTATATTCCGTAGCTCTGAGAATAGGCTTATAACAATTTTTTTTTTCATTTTTTGCACAGATATAACGTATATTTTAAATATATCTTTATTTAATCGTATTCGGGTCCAAACTAAACATAGAAACAGATCAAAAATAATATTCACGCACGTTGCAACAAGTCATATGAAACTCTAATACTTATGCTCGCTCTTAAAAGAAGATCATCAAATATATTTGCAAGTATGTGAATAAAGACAGTGATATGACAGTATTTCGAGATGAAAATACCAAGGTGACTGCTCTTCCAGACATTATGGGATAATCACAAAGATTCGGTGACTGATGATATACGGTATCAACATCGCACATGTTGCAACGATCTAACGATAGCATTCAGCGATGCTACAGGCATGTACAATGAATCACTGATTGGTACTGAGGATCTTTGCATTATTATTGCCAATTTGTTACTCACTCATTTCGGTATGCTTTCGCCAAATTGAAGTGCATCTGATTTATTAAACACTGATATGAATCGTGAACTTCAATACAATGCGATAGAAATGACAGCATTTGTTACTCGCAATTTTACACTAATGAATGAGGAACAAAGGAACATTTATGACCGCATTATGCTCGCAGTTTCGGCCGGACAAGGTGGATTTTTTTTGGATGCACCAGGTGGAACTGGCAAAACATTTATTATTTCGCTAATTCTCGCTGAAATACGATCAAATAATGGCATGCGTTGGCCGTTGCATCATCTGGCATTGCGGCAACTTTATTGGATGGAGGCAAAACTGCTCATTCAGTATTTTAGCTGCCACTAAATATTCAAAACAACCCAGATGCAGAGTGCAACATAAAAAAGCAATCGTCTATGGCCACAGTGTTGAAACACTGTAAAATTATCATCTAGGATGAATGCACTATGGCACACAAACATTCGCTTGAGGCGTTGAACAGGACATTGAAAGATATAAAAAAGAATGCCAAATTATTTGGCAGCACTCAGTTTTCTCCTTTCAGGTGATTTCAGACAAACACTTCCCGTCATTCCGCATTCAACGTACGCTGAAATCATCTCCACTGTGGCGTAATGTTGAAAAAGTTCAACTAAGAGTAAATATGCGCGTCCAAATGCTTCAAGATCCATCTGCTGGAACATTCTCAAAACAATTGTTAGATATAGGTGATGGAAAAGTTACTAAGGATGAGACTGGATACATAAAATTACCGGACGATTTCTGCACAATCTTTAATTCACAAGATGCTCTCAATAACCTAATATTTCCCGATGCACACACACAATACATTCATCATGAGTGGCTAGTAGAAAGGGCGATTTTAACAGCAAAAAATGTGGACGTCAACGAATTGAATCTGAAGATACGACAGTTATTGCCAGGTAACTTGGTGACATATAAATCCGCTGAAGCAGTTTGCGATCCCATTGAAGCTGCAAATTTTCCAACAGAGTTTTTAAACTCATTGGATTTACCAGGCATACCACCGCATAATTTAATACGCAAAGTTGGATCTCCGGTAATTTTGCTTCGTAATTTGAACTGACCACGGCTGTGCAACGGCACGCGATTAGTCGTTAAAAATTTTATGAACAAAGTTATCGAAGTCATTATTTTAAATTAAAAATTCCGGGGGGAAAGTATATTACTTCCAAGAATCTCTATTATACCCACAGATGTGTCAATTGAAATTAAATGCATTCATTTCCCCATTAGATTGGCACTTGCAATGACAAGACCAAACAATGTCTGTTTGTGTCTTAGATTTGAGCACATCATGTTTTTCACACGTACAATTACACGTGGCATGCTCCCGAGTGGGCAAACCATCCAGTTTATTTGTGTTAGCTAAAGATGGAATGACAAAATATATTGTACACTCTATTGCACTAAGAGATTAATATTGTTGACTAATATTTTCAGAATTCGTTGTATATATAATTTATAAAAAAAGTTACAATTAATTAAAAAAACTATTATTTGGTGTGTTTTTATTTTCACATTACGTCATCGTTCACAGCGCTCCATGCCACTGCCACTCACATACCACATACGCACACACTTACAATAAATAAGATATATTTTCATACTCTAGAAATAAATCATATGGCAAAACAACGTTTNATATATTCAGTTTTAAATTTTCAAATGCATTTTTACTTTTTATTCAAATTGCCTAGAAAAAGATATATCAGTTTAGTATGATATTAAATATTTTAATACTATTTTAAATTTTAAATTATACAGCATGCCATAACTGTAAAAACTGAGGTGTAATATCTTTCCGAATATAATGTTAACCAATCCAAAAAGTTATGTGAAATGATAACTTAAATAGTGCGTTTCAAATCTAAACACTTACAATGGGAAAAACCTGCACCAAGCTCGCGCGTATTCACGTTACACGTGGACTTACATAATGCACTTCACTTTCGGAAACGCCAATGTTTTCATACTTTGAAAATGGTAAATAAATCGTTTATACAATCCTGTTACAGTTTGGTTTAGCTAATTTTATTTTGGGAAGTGCATGCATCCAAAAATTAATTGTTTTAACTTCAAACTGTTTCATAAAAATAATTTTAATAACTAATACCCAGATAATATTTTGCTGTTACTGTAAATTAATGAAATGGTGTTATTGGATAACAAAAATGACTGTAGCTCCTTCACACCATGTAGTGTAAACATTCTTGGTGTTTCACTACACAAAGAACTATTTTTGATTCTTAGAGAAATGGAATACCTTGAACCAAGAGTTATGTATGGTGTTTCACTACAATAATTTGGTCGAAAGCATTTCACCATTTTTGGTGTTAAGATACACGATAATTTTTTTTCCCGCGTGGAATGATAAAGCGGCTCGTAATTATAGATGTATTGTTACATCTAGAATGAATGAGAAAATAAGTATTATCTTATTAAAATGAAATTCCTCCTATTGTACGTATCTGAAATTTTTTGAAACTATCTCTTTCATTACAGGAAACCTATTTTTTTAAAGCCTAGTTTATCTTTAGGATCGTATGATATTAGTGTGCGTTCTTCCAGTGAATTCTTTTCTGAAGTTAAACGAATATATTTACAGCTGTTGTTCTAAGATTATTAAACAAGTTCTCTTCTCTCTTCAATTGAGAATGCTTCTCTCAACGAAATGTGGGAACCGTGGTAAGCTTAACTTCCAGCTTACAATTTGTTTATATTAAATTATAAAAATTTTGATTGGCAGTAAGTTCTACTTAGGGAAAGAAGAGTATTTAATCTATACATGGTAATAAACGCTGCTGTGTGTGTGTGTGTCTGTCTGTCTGTCTGTAATCAAAATATATCGCCCCAGAAGCCTCGCCCAGGCACGAAACTCGGCACATAATTGTGTTTTGACATAATGAAGAAGTTTTTTTTTCTTTTACAAAAATTTGCGTTTGGTTTTTTAGTTTATGTTCAAAAAACTATTAAAAAATGCATATACTTTTCTCCACTCTTATAAATGTATGCTAATACGAACCTTACAATTGGGTATACTATAGCCTACGTCACAGATCGTGTTATTCCTAATAAATTTAACTAGTAAACAGCATTTTCTGCGAACCTGATTTCTAGCAACAAGTAAAAGCATCAAACCACGAAGTGTCTTGTTTATAAGTCGCTACTCGCCAGGTTGGAATTGTATTAGTCTAGTTCCTTTGGAAATAATTTATATNAAAATGCATATACTTTTCTCCACTCTTATAAATGTATTCTAATGCGAACCTTACAATTGAAGTATGAATTTTCGACAACTTAAACCAATAATATACGAAGGAATTAATACTTTAATTCTAAGGTTCGCATTAGTCAACATTTATCAAAGTGGAGAAAAGTTTAACTTTTGTATTAAAAATGTGGCAACATATTCGATACGCAAATAAAACGCTTCGCTTTGATACATTTGTCGCCGTTCATCTGGATATGAAGACAAAATTGCAGGACAGGAACACTTTAATTGTCCACTAATCTTCCGATTTCCTGCCATGTTTTAAAAAACTTTATTTGTGAAAACCTTTAGCGTGGCGGACAGGTGGCTGCCTCAGGCGGCTAGTTATAAATAAAATGCCAGAAAACAATTGAAATATGTGTAGAATTCATGTGTAGCATTTTTCCAGATTAGGATAGAATAATTATTAAAAATGTCTCGATTTCTTTTTTGACGTAAGATGTTTATGCTTCCAGCTAGTCTTGTCTTGATACTGCTATCTAGTAAACATTCTTAAAATATGAAAAGAACATATTTGTAAGCAATCAATCAATTAATAATTTTTGATAATCTGGGGTGATGCTACGTGTTTTTGGTTAGTAATATTTAGAGTAATTTGGCAAAAAAAATACTCAATGCAGTTAATATGATTTTGATGCAGAAAGATCAAGATCAGGATAAGCTACTTTTTTCCAGACATGATAGAATTTTTGTAGAAAAGCATTAAGATTATCATATTGATTCTAACATGCTCATAGCTGACATCTAGTGAATATTCTTAAACAGTGGTTACCAACTGGTGGCTCGCGAACCATAATATATTAGTTGTCATTATTTTGAGGTCAATTTTCGTAAAAAATCTGTATGGGTTTAAAATACTTTTTTTTTCTTTAAAAAAAGTCTAATTTCTTCCTTTCTGGGAAATTTAACATACCAATGGTGCAAAAATGCTTATTTTTCAAGTTTTGCATCCAAGAAAATATTTATTCAAATACAAAAATATTCGTGTACGTTACTTTTTTTTTTCTTTTTTCTCTTCTTTTTTGTATTTTGAGAACATAATTTAGCAGGCGTGTATCAGAAATTTTCTCGAAGAAATTCTCCGCTTTAACTTCTTGAAACAACTCATATTGGACGAAATTATTTACAATTGTAAATTTGGTAGCCAGAATTTTTTAAAATGCAATTAAATATTTTAAAAATCTACCGCTTATTTTAATTTGCAATTCATTACCTTTGTTTTGTACATTTTGATAAAAATTGGACAGTAATATTTAATGTTCCTTCAAACATAAAAAAGTCCTACATAAAATTTTGATAAAGTTCCATCCCGCCACTTGACTGATATTTTCAATTGCGGCTCCCAGTTTCATGTAAGTTGGAAACCCCTGTTCTAAAATATATAAAAAGTACAAATTTATAAACAATCAACAGTTAATTTCTGAAATTTAGAAGTGTAGGATGGCGTGTTCTTTGGCTAATAAAAACGAGAAAAAAGAACGCGATACAGTAAATGTGATTTTTATGCGGGGTCAGAAAGATCTAAATCTTTAGGACAATTTCGAAGTTATTTAAGAATTATTTCTTAAACCTAAAAAACATATTAATTAACTCATATTATCAATATTTTTAGGTTGTTACATACATACGATTTTGCTCGTTTTATATTACTGAGACTCAGTAATCTTTGTACTTCAACTTGATTTGTTCCAAAGAAGGCCATTCCCGCCATAATTCCATGAGTTGCACAAGCCCAGAATCCATACCGTTGGGTTATATCTGGCACGAGTCTGTAATATACCAAGAATAAAACAATGTCGTTCGTAATGAGAATCAATAACTTTGAAAACATTCTTACTCGAAAAAGTTTAGTCTTTTGCCAGTCGAAACCTTTCGAAAGAGATCGGAAATACCACCTGCATCAGAGATGCCTGCTATGTATATAGCTAATAAACAAGTTATCATTAAAATAGCTTGAAAAACATCTGTCCACAAAACAGCGTCAAGTCCTCCCTAAATAATGAAATTAATAAATGCATATTAGATAATATGTAAGAAACCCACTGCAAAATAGGTATAGTGTTATAAGGCTTAAAAATTAATGTAAAGTAAAATGTTTTTCTTCTTAATTAAAGTTATCAAGTAAGTAGAGCATGTACACGTGAACGCATCGGAATGGAACGCGTGAGTGCTAAATATATTCATTGTCAGAATTGCCAAGTTATACAAATCGAGCCGTGGTGGCTCATAGAGCGTTCGCCTTTCAATGAGATAACCCAGTTTCGAAACCCAGCAGTGGCTAGTTGATCCGGTTTCAGTTCCCATCTCGCATAAACCATAAGTTTGACATAAAATATCCTCAGTGGTAGATGAATTATGATTAGAATTTCCTTGCATTCGGGATAACCATGGCAAAACCCACATCTTTTCGTGGTTTTCCTCTGCATGTAAAGCAAATGTGGGTTAGTTCGATCGAATTTTGTTCCAGGAAAGCTAGTTAGTTTCAATGTTTGATCTAGGAGTTCTCTTATATTCTGGGTTGGGTTACGAACCCTGAGGTTATGGAGTTAAACATTAATAGTTGTAAACTCAGAATTGGATCGGCTGTTAAACGCTAGTTATAAAAAAGTTATGCGAAGTAGGAATGCAAAATGTTTTATAACTTCGCGATAGTTCCACGTTGTAAATGCGTATAATGTCTTAAAGTGTGACGAATGTTATGTCGCAAAAATGTAATCAGTAGCTCTTTTACACATTAAAGATGAGCACTTTAAAAATATTCTAGATTATTATATCGAATTATTAAATAAATAGCTAATATCGATTGTCAGAATTCTGTTGTTGTAGTTGCGTTCATTTACGTCACACTAGAGCTGCACAATGGGCAATTTGCGACTGTCTGGGAAACATCCATGGTGATGATCCGAAAACATGACATCATAATTTTGATACTGTGCAGAGGGGAGGGCATCCCCACTTCGGTAGCCCGACGACCTGCATGCGAAGTCGAGCTCTCAGAATTCTGGAATTTAGCGATTTCTTTAAAGCGATGTCATTTTTTGTCTGCCAAGTATTACGAAAGATTTTTTTTTTCCAGATGTGCTAATTCTTCTAAAAACAGCACGAAATCTCATCTTTAATTCATACATCAATAACTGAAAGGCAAAGAAGCAGTGAATCATAAATTTCTGTTTTTTAAATTAACAAGTGTTATGAAGCTATTTTTTGCAGGTAATTAAGAGCTGAAAATTGAGATACTCTTCATGTACATAGCTGTAACATTTGATAAGCGTGATAAAGAATATTTTATTTATCCATATTTTTATCCATTTATTTATTCATTTAAAGGAAAGTAATAATTATTAATAGCATATATTCAATGCTTTGATAAAGTATTCCCGTATCAGCCCGCTGAGAGCACGGGAGTTTACGGAAGTTCAAGTTCCACAGCTTTTAGAGCAACGTCATGATTGTATTAATGAGGTCAGCATTACGGACAGACTGCCTTTATTTTCCTGAAAAGTTATATCCCATTGATCTGAAGCTGAGAAGGCTTCAACCCTCCTCTGAGGATGGAACAACAGTCTTTTGTTGCAATAAGTACAAGTTTTACATACTTTTTTGATAGATTGATATAAACTTTGTTATAAGAGATTATTACGATTGGTTTTGTTATGTTAAATAACAATAAATAAGTAACGATTTTAAATAAAAAAATTTCTTTAAAATAATAATGAAAAATAAGAGTTAGTGGAAAATAAAATTCATGAAAATCAGGAATCAATTTAGAAAACAATCTCACCAAGGAACAATAGAGAGCACAAACAGTTCCCAAGGACACAACTGACATTTCAAAAGACAAGTCTGTAACAGCACTCAATGCCAAAACTGCTCCATAAAGAGAAATAGACATGTAAAATACCTGAAAAAGACCTTAAATTCAAAATTACATCACTTTTTTTCTTTCATTTTTGTGCAATTCAAATATTCATTCTTACCATCTGCAGAAGAAACATAACGGACACCAGATATCTGATGATTCGTCCATACCGCATTTCAAGGTACTAGAAAATTGGTTTTTGAAATTATTAAACATAACAGACACTACGTATTTAAAGATTCGTCCATACCGTATTTCAAGGTAATGGAAAATTTATTTTAAAAATTATTAAGCGTAACAGACACCAGACATCTAAAGATTCGTCCATACCGCATATCAAGGTACTAGAAAAATTATTTTTAAAATTATTTAATGTAACAGACACCAGGTATCTAATGATTCGTCCATATTGCATTTCAAGGTACTAGAAAGTCTTCTCCCAATAGAGTTTTTATCAGTTAAGGGTCGTTGAATGACCCCGCGCGGCTTTCACAGTTGACCAGCGCGGCTACAAATCATTTTATTTCTCGCAGCTTCCGAGTTTTGTGCATTATTTTTCGTTCCTTGTCAAAGTGATTCTGACATGTCTACAGTGTTCATGAAATTTTTACCGTAATAAGTACACAAACTAAAATTTCATATTACAAAAATCAACTAACTCTGCATTAACATTGAGGACGTTACATTACTATGCATTGAAATCAAAGACTTTGGTGGGTCATTTATAAGTGATCGACGCTAGTTAACATGCGGCTTATCTGCGTTTGAATAATGAAATAAAAGTTCAAATACTAAAATTTTTTTTAACCTGGAATCTCCGAATTAGAAACAAAAAATTCCTCAAGACAAAGTTTTGCTTGAGACTGCTACTGGAACTAACGATATGTGCTGATTTTTTTTTCTTCTAACGAACATAAGTTTCAAATGCCTCCGAGATGACAAAATATAAATAAACACAAATATAATAAAATATGCACTAAAACAATCATATCGAATATAATAGTATGATTTAGATACTATTTATCAGAGAAGTAAATATCATGTTTTAATAATTTAATCGTAAAATATGGTAAAAAGCCCTGTATCATTATCGCAGTACGTTACAGAGTTCTTGCAGAACGATTTTTCTCTTGAAAAAAAAAAGAAAAGAAAAAAAAAAGGTTTTTTTTTGCTATAGAAATTTACACGTAAAATTTGAATAATGCCTTTAGATAATCACTTTTTGACACGCTAAATTTACATCGTAAATCGATTAAAGGTTGCGATTGAATTTCGGTATTAATTAATATTGATTTTCATGTGGTTTTTAAATATCCTAATATATTTCAAACAATATTGAAAATTCGAATCGTGCATTTGAGTACTTACTTTTTAAGGGAATGATTCTATCGAAGTTTTGGCTGGTATTGCTATTGATTTCTCCTTAGGGCGCTTGTTCATTACACGACACGATAACGACAAAACGGATCCGATTGTCGGCAAACGACATAGAGTCAAGTAAAATACATGGTCAGCACAAGAGTGCTTTTTCACTCACCGATACGATAACGATTATGTTGTATCCGACAAAGCGGAATCAAATGTTGGTGAGGCAAGCAAGTTTCTCCTCAAATCATGGCGATTTTATAAGTTATTGCGTATCTTTTCTGTTTTATCTCCTCTTTTGATATCATTATTTTACTCTTTTAATCAATTTTAATAGTTTATTTGATCATGTCAAATGCAAAATTTGAAAATAAAAGTTTTATATAATGTATTCTCATGTCTGGTTATAAATTTTTTACATTATAATGAGGTTGAAAGACTTAAACAATCATAAAAGTTTTATTGAAAATTTTTATAAATTCATTATATGCTTTAATGAAGAGATAATATTTTTTATAATAGTAATGGTTTGATACAAAGGCAAATAAAGACCCTTATGTATTTCAAACAGAACTTGATCTTGTGGCGTAACTACCACTATCAATATTAAATACCAATTCACTAGTATATAAGACATGTTAACTTGATTCTAACACGAGGTACCTTTTGATAGATGAAGGTTGACATAGTCTATGAATTTCATCCCCACATTGGTGACCTACGGATGTGATAAGAAATTGTCAATATTGATGGATGAATCCACATTAAACAGTTGATTTGCTTAAAAAAAAATCTCTCTATTCTAAAAAAAAGTTTTTGCAGTTAATTTTGTCCCCTGAAAAACTTTTTAACTACGTGATGAAAATCTAAGATTAAGGAATCAATTCATTCAGAATCTTTCAGGGAAGACATTTAGGGNAAAATTTTTATAAATTCATTATATGCTTTAATGAAGGGATGGTATTTTTTATAATAGTAATGGTTTGATAAGAAGGCAAATAAAGACCCTTATGTATTTCAAACAGAACTCGATCTAACTACTGGTTTCTGCTTGATTGAATAATAAAAAGTCTGCTCCCTGATTCAAGTGAAACATTTTTTGAAACATGGTAGAGCAGCTTCATAAGATAAATTTGATAAAACTCATTTAGAAAATCATCGAAATGAAACTAATATTTTAATTCGATTAAAAAAAACGTTAATACTTTAAAACATTTAAAGTATTTTAGTAATGTTAAGTGATTACAGACATAAATTAGCGAGCAGACGCCAACTCAAAAGCCATACAAAATTATTCCTCATTAACATATCTCTAGTTCTTGGTTTCTCTCATTCGGACGTAATTAAAAAAATTATTTGTGACTTTTGTAGCTTATGGAAAAGCACATAAGAATCTTCCTCAACATATCTTGCCTGATTTATTTCATGAGTACTTACGTTGTTGCAGAAGTTGTGCTAATGCGCCAATGAAGAGCAATCCTGTTGTTCGCACACAGATACTCCGTTTTCGCACGCAGTTATCTTTTGGATTTATTGTTGCCTTGTTTGCTGATTTCTGACGCCATTTTTAGTGCTACAAAAATGCATCTTTGGGATTTGCCAAAAACAGAACAAGACGCAATTTTATCTTTTCAGTAGCGAAATATTTTACCTCCCCCCCAAAAAAAACGAAAATGTACCAATTCCCTTGACATGAAACTTTATTTTGGTAAGCGTACGTTTTAGAAATGTAATTTAAGACAGTGTGATCAGCAAGTGGGGCTTAGATGGTTGCACAACTTATTCTGCGATTGGGAAGGTTATTAAACAAAGAGAGTAGAAAGATTCCTACTTGCTAAGGTTTATCATAAATACGAATACCTTAGCAAGTAGGTATTTGTATACATTTTATTAATCCTGATACAGGAGTTCATGCTACACAAATAGTTGAGAGAATAAGGGTCAGTGCTAAAAAGAGGAACAAATGACATAGAGGGACAGCGAGACATCATTTGGAATCTTATTTATCAGAGTTCATATCGCGACATCATCTGGTGAAGGATAAGAAACTGTTTTGAATCTATGTTAAACTTTATATCGGCCCATTTTCCACTGAAATCCGATTGACTACTTTGATTTTAAATAAAGTGTTTTGAATTTTTAGATTTTAAATTAAGTGTTTTATTTCGTGATTTATCACAAATATTTTAGGTGTTGATTGGCGGCACTAAAAAACCGCCAAATCTGTAGCTGCGATGGCGTTAAAACGTAAGTACCATTTCGTGCACGCAATAACGTTTCTGCATTGCTAACTTTTTCTTCTAAAATAAAGTAAGAAGTTTGAGACGATGATTATCTTCCGGCATATTTAAAGTTTGCAGAAAAAAATCACAGCTGTACACAAACAACTGCTAACTCAAGCTCAAAACATTGAATGAACAAGAATTTCTACTTCTCGGACGAACGATTTCGGACAAGTGAAAAAACAATTGCTTGAACGATTCGGCAACGACATTGTCGTTCACACATTTGTCGTCCGATTTTCTCAGTATCGTGTCCTGTAATTAAAAAGCGCCCTCAAAACCGATCCGATTGTCGGCGAACGACATAGAGTCAAGTAAAATACATGGTCAGCAACAGAGTGCTTTTTCACTCACCGATACGATAACGATTATGTCGTATCCGACAAGGCGATATCGTTTGTCGGAATCAAATATTGGTTAGGCAAGCAAGTTTACTCCTCAAATCATGGCGATTTTATTTGTTATTGTGTATCTTTTCTGTTTTATCTCCTCTTTTGATATCATTATTTTATTCTTTTAATCAATTTTAATAGTTTATTTGATCATGTCAAATGCAAAATTTGAAAATAAAAGTTTTATATAATGTATTCTCATGTCAAGTTATAAATTTTTACATTATAATGAGGTTGAAAGACTTAAACAATCATAAGAGTTTTATTGAAAATTTTTATAAATTCATTATATGCTTTAATGAAGAGATAATATTTTTCATAATAGTAATGGTTTGATACGAAGGCAAATAAAGACCCCTATGTATTTCAAACAGAACTCGATCTAACTACTGATTTCTGCTTGATTGAATAATAAAAAATCTGTTCCCTGATTCAACTGAAACATTTTTTTGAAACATGATAGAGCGGCTTCATAAGATAAATTTGGTAAAACTCATTTAAAAAATCATCTTAAAAGATTATTCTAAATGAAACTAATATTTTAATTCGATTAAAAAAAACGTTAATACTTTATAACATTTAAAGAATTGAAGTAATGTTAAGTGATTACAGACATAAATTATCGAGCAGACGCCAACTCAAAAGCCATATAAATATAATTCCGCATTAGCATCACTCTTTTTCTTGGTTTCTCTCATTCAGACGTAATTAAAAAATTTATTAGGGACTTTTTGCAGCTTATAGAAAAGCACATAAAAATCTTCTTCAACACATCTTGCCTCATTTATTTCGTTGTTGCAGAAGTTGTGCTAATGCGCCAATAAAGAGCAATCCTGTTGTTCGCACTCAGCAACTCCGTTTTCGCACGCAGTTATCTTTTGGATTCATTGTTGCTTTGTTTGCTGATTTTTGACGCCATTTTTAGTGCTACGAAAATGCATCTTTGGGGTTTGCCAAAAACAGAACAAGAAGCAATTTTATTTTTTCAGTAGCGAAATATTTTACCCCCAAAAGGAAAACGAAAATGTATCAATTCCCTGACATGAAACTTTATTTTAGTAAACGTGCGTTTTGGAAATGTAATTTAAGACAGTGTGATCAGCAAGTGGGACTTAGATGGTAGCACAATTTATTCTGACAGTTGG